GCTGTCTCCTCCCGTCTTATATTCCTCTCTAGTGCTGGGATTAAAGGCTTGCACCACTACTGCCGGTTTCTATGGCAAATTAGTGTGGCTACCGGGATTAAATGTGTGTGTCACCACTGCCTGGTCTGTATGACTGATCAGTGAGGCTATTTTACTCTCTGGACTTCAGGCAAGCTTTATTTATTAAAATATCACTACACAGTGCCACCTGAATGCAAAAGTCAGCATGCTGTAAATGACATCACAACCACAACAACCACATCCTGTTTGTGAGATGCTAAGAGTATTCTCTGCTATAATTGTCATCTAAAATGCTTTTGTAAATTCTCTGACAATTTCAAACATGTAAAACTGTACACTGACCATATTCACCTCCCTTACTCCCTATTAACCCTACCAACTTCCTCAGAAATCTTCTTCCCAACAAGTCCTGGTCCTATCATGCTTCTTACTTCTCTTTTTTCCCCCCACCTACTAAGTTTCCTTAGGGTTGTTTGCATGAGAATAGGTCTGGGATTACTTACTAGAGCAGAGACAGTTTATCAATGGGTACTAAAGTAAATGACTCCTTGCCACCAGGTTGTCGTGGCGCATGCCTTTAATCCCAGAACTAGGGAAGCAGAGGCAGGAAGATCTTTGAGGTTAAGGTCAGCCTGGTCTACAGAGGAAGTTCCACGAAAACCAGGGAGTTACACAGAGAAACACTGTCAAAGAAAAAGAAGAGGAGGGGAGGGAAGGGGAGAGGAGAAGGAAGCGAGGGAGAGAAAGAGAGGGGAGGGAGGGAGGGAGGGAGGGAGGGAGGGAGAGAGAGAGAGAGAGAGAAAATAACTCATCCATCCCCTAAGAGTCATTGACCGCCTTGAAAATGGGTGGGACTAAAACGCGTAAATTCTTACATTTGGAGTATCAAAAGAGAACTCCAAACTTGACCAACCCAAACAATTCGTAATACCGATGCTATAGATGGAGACTGGACTCTAAAAAAAAAAAAAGAAAAAAGAAATAATACTTTACCACTTAGGGCAAAAAGGATGCTCTCCTTTCAAAACACAACAACAAAAAAATCTAACTAAACTTTTGTTCAAAGGTTAAGATTAAGAATTTCTTCCCAACCCCTTGAGAAATATCTAATAGGAGAAGATGGCCCAGATGTCTGAGTTCTACATCCAGAACAGATTCAAGACTATTGCTTGAGATGATCAAGCCTCTCAAGATACTCCAGTCAGGACTTGATCATAATTCTAAATTTTCTTTAGGTACCCATAAGATTATCAGTGACCCTGAACAGCAGGAAGTAGCCTGAAAAACTATGGCCACAATCCTAAAAAATGTACTATGGATATTTTCCTTTGTTTAGAATGTTGGTTACAAGTTGTTACGGATAATGGTCAGGAGAAAAGCTAAACAAAAGGTATCAGATTCAGAATTGTTGTTTTTTTTTAAAAAAGGGGGGTGATGTGGGGCAATGATCTTTTATCCTGTCACTTGTATTATTTTTAATACAGTAGCCAGGCAGGAAGTATAAGCAGGGTGACGGCAACCAGGCAGGAAATAGAGGCATGACAGTTGAGAATCATGGGAAGAGGAAAATTTTAGTCTGAAGTTGTGACCCAGACGCAGAGAAAGCAAGATGTGACTATCTCGGTCGAATAAGGTACCAAGAGATGTGGCTAACATAGACAAGAAATATGAGCTGATATAAGTTATAAGAATTAATTAATAAGAAGCTTGAGCTACTGGGCCAAGCTTTCCAGGTTCTGGCTATTACAAACAATGGTGCTATGAACACAGTTGGGCATATACTTTTATAATATGATAGGGCATCTCTTGGGTGTATTCCCAAGAGTGGTATTGCTGGGTCCAGGGGTAAGTTGATCCCGAATTTCCTGAGAAACCGCCACACTGCTTTCCAAAGCGGTTGCACAGTTTGCATTCCCACCAGCAATGGATGAGGGTACCCCTTTCTCCACAACCTCTCCAGCAAAGGCTATCATTGGTGTTTTTTATTTTAGCCATTCTGACAGGTGTAAGATGGTATCTTAAAGTTGTCTTGATTTACATTTCCCTGATAGCTAAGGAAGTTGAGCACGACCTTAAGTGTCTTTTGGCCATTTGAACTTCTTCTGTTGAGAATTCTCTGTTCAGCTCAGTGCCCCATTTTATAATTGGGTTGATTAGCCTTTTACAGTCTAGTTTCTTGAGTTCTTTATATATTTTGGAGATGCCCTTCAATGGAAGAATGGATGAAGAAAGTATGGAATATATACATATTAGAGTACTACTCAGCAGTAAAAAACAATGACTTCTTGAATTTTGCATGCAAATGGACAGAAATAGAAAACACTACCCTGAGTGAGGTAAGCCAGACCCAAAAAGAGGAACATGGGATGTACTCACTCATAATTGGTTTCTAGCCATAAATAAAGGACATTAAGCCTATAATTAGTGATCCTAGAGAAGCTAAATAAGAAGGTGAACCCAAAGAAAAACATATAGGCATCCTCCTGGATATTAACCTTCATCAGGTGATGAAAGGAGACAGAGACAGAGACCCACATTGGAGCACCGGACTGAAACCCCAAGGTCCAAATCAGGAGCAGAAGGAGAGAGAGCACGAGCAAAGAACTCAGGGCCATGAGGGGTGCACCCACACACTGTGACAATGGGGATGTTCTATCAGGAACTCACCAAGGTCAGCTGGATTGGGTCTGAAAAAGCATGGGATAAAACCGGACTTGCTGAACATAGCAGACAATGAGGACTGCTGAGAAGTCAAGAACAATGGCACTAGGTTTTGATCCTACTGCACATACTGGCTTTGTGGGAGCCTAGGCTGTTTGGATGTTCACCTTACTAGACCTGGAAGGAAGTGGGAGGTCCTTGGACTCCCCACAGGGCAGAGAACCCTAACTGCTATTCGGGCTGAAGAGAGAAGGGGACTTGATGGGGGGAGGGGGAGGGAAATGGGAGGCGGTGGCAGGAAGGAGACAGAAATCTTTAATAAATAAATAAATAATAAAAAATAAATTAAAAAGCCAGGTGCTTCTCTCATCATCAAAAAAAAAAAAAAAGAATTTCTTCCCTGGTGGTGGTAGCACACGCCTTTAATAATCCCAGTACTCAGGAGGCAGAGGCAGGTAGATCTCTGTGAGTTCAAGGCCAGCCTGGGCTACAGAGCGAGTACCAGGACAGGTTTCAAAGCTATCCAGAGAAATCTTGTCTTGAAAAACAAAAAACAACAACAAAAAAAGAATTTCTTCCCTAAACACAGGGTCCAAATGCTAGAATGAAGGTTAGGACACTACTTTAAATTAAAATGAACCAAGAAAAAGTGTGCTCTTTAAAAATGAATGCCAAAGGTCAAAAGAAAATATAAAAGATCCACATCATCCTGTATCTGAAACCTCTCAAATTATTTCCCACATCTTCTTATTATTCAATTTAGAATATTAAATTTTTAAAAATCAGAATGGCATATAAAATGGAAATGGCAGATGGGAAAGACAAGAAACAAAATCAACAAGCAATATAAATACCTTACATTTTAGTCATAAGATTAAACTTCTCCCCTCATCAATCTTAGACAGCATTTAAACAAGTAATGCTATCGATTAACTTCTATTTCATTCTTACTAATTTTGCAGATAAGTCCGCAGCACTGTACACGGTGAACATCCAAGAAACATGCCCCTCAAGGATGGTGCTGGCAATGGTACTGCCAAGAAGGCAAGCACAAGAAAATGACAGAATCCATTTGGGGTCTTCAAATACACAGACACATAAAAATAAATCTTAAAAAGCAAAATAAAACAAAACAAAAACAAGTTGAGGAGATGGCTCAGTTATTAAGTGACTTTGGTGGAAGCAAGACAATCTGAGTTTAAGCACCAGAACCCCCATAAAAAGCTGGGGCTGGCCAGGCAGGAATAGGCAGACCCCTGAAACTTATTAGCTAGTCAGCCTACCAAAATTTTGAACTTCAAGTCAGTAAGAAACACTTCCCCAAAATGAGGGGAGTGATCAAAGAAAGGCACCCAATACTGATCTCTAGCTTCCATACCCTCACACACAGGCAAGTGTACCCACATGAACAAGTACACATGTCACATCTATACATATTCCCCACCCCCCAAAAAAGTCCTAACAAACAAGAGACTTTACAGTAAGAAAGCTCTCTTCAATAAGAGAATCAGAGAACCATATAGTTTCTTAATCTAGAATAGTACACCACCCTTATGTGACCTCACTAAGAAAAAAGCTAACCAGAGTTACTGAAATGAATGTCAGGAGAGTTCAGAGTGCCAAACGTAATCATCTTTAGGATACAAACCTACGAATAAATGTGCAATTCTAATAGCAGTCTGGTGACATTTTTAGAGGCAAGGTTAAGATATCTCCAAGAATGTTACAACAAGCCAAGAAGTCCTATACATGGGCATGTGACTAATAACATGATTAAAACAATGCAAGATATGTTTGGTAAAGCATGCCTTTTTATATCCCATTGGGTGACCACATTCACAGTCACACACTCATGCATTTGAAAGTTAAGAAGCAAAGCTATGTATAAGAGCTTTACAGAGAAGCAGTTGCACATCACACACAGCATACCATATTACACATGCTGAGCAAATCTGATTAATAGGTTAAAACATACAAATAGAACCAAATACAGTTAGTATACACAACTGCAAAGACACATATATTCTCTAGCACTGTCCACTCAAACCCTAAGAACCCAGAAGCAATACAGCATCAACTATAAATAGTCAATTTATCCACACTTTAATTCTTAATTATTCAAAAGAGGAGATTTTCTATCAAATAGAAAAACCCCTATGACTACATATTAGAACTTTCTCATGTGTGCAGTGGCTATTGCCACTTCCCTTCTTCTGCTCCAGTGTGTAACCCTGCACTCCCTAACTGAATGGGGATGGAAAAGAGGCACACATAAAGGGCAAAGGCAGTTAGAGGTTAGTCACGAAACTGAATCATACCGTGCAAAATTCATGCTTTTTACCAGTTCATCTAAAAGACGATTATTTCTCAGGTCTGGTTCTGTTACTGCCTAGAAAAGAAAAACAAAAGATGGAGGTCATAAACAATAATTAACTTGTCACAATTCTGATTTCAAAATGTCTGACCTGTCCTCCTGGGGCTCTCTGTCCCACTAGTCTTCTAAATAAAGTAGATTCATCTCATACTAACATGGAACTTTTAAGCCAGTGAATTAGGTAGGACCTGCTAACTGGAAGCCTGATTGCAGTTCTCAAAAGCATGTTAAAACTATTTGCTGTTTACTCTGCACTAAAACAAAAACCCAACATGAACAAGGATTTTTCTTCAAAATACCAAAACTAGCTTTCCCCAATTTACTCAGCAACAGGAGAGGCTTTTAAGTAATAACACTGGAAGAGGCACTAACTATTCAAAGAAGGTTAAAAAATAAGAACTCAAAACTACAGAAACACCATCTGGCACTGCAGCATGGATGTTGTCTGGTACACACTGGTGCTAAGTCCAGCTGAACAAAGGCAGCACAGCAGTGGCAAAGACCTCCAAGGTTGGAAGCAACTGCACTGTTTAGCACAAGGAAACAGTTTAGACAAGTTCAGTGACATCCTGACAAGCTGTACCAGCCAGAGCAGTCACACCTCCAGCTCCCCAGTGTCCTTTTCAAGAGAGCCCTGTCCCTTCTTTCCTTCCCCAGACACAGGTTTAATCTCCCGTTCCATCTCATTCTCTGCCTGTTCTAACTGCAAGAACAGTCTCAGGGACAGTCAGCACACTTGCTAATGTTTGTTCTGAAGGGCTGGTCTGGGAGGGCGCTAAGAGACCAGGTTAAGCCCAGTTGCCATCAATCTCCTACCTCCTCTACAAATACAAATATCAGTTCTTCACAAACAAAGAATCCCACCAGTAGTGTTCATCCAAAGTGAGAAATTATAAAAAGTTAGGAACCATAAAAACATAAATTGTAGGAGTCAAAGAGTACTACAGTCTTCTACCTCACAAAATACATTAAGGTTATCAAAACCCTTGATGAGAAGTGGAACAAAACCCAGATCTCTTATATATACTTCGGAAGTCTTTCCTGGAAACAGTCAAATGGTTTAACTCAGTCACTACATATAATCCCGTGCATTTTTGTGGACACAGAAAGCAAAAAATAAATTGTTCCAATCAACAAAATTTTTACAAAGAAAAGAAAAACTTACCACACAACAAGTTGGGCACTGAGTTTTATAGGACAAAAATTTTCTTATACAGAGAGAACAATCTGTAAAAAGACACAAATTGCAACATAGGAAGTTATGCTATTCAGTAACATAGGAATCTGACTATTAACAAAATTCTGGCCCAAGACTAGAGTACTTCCAGCATTATATCATTATAATTATAATTTTAAGTTTCTAGCACCTTCTTGCTCCACAAGTATTTATATGTGTAACTAAAAGCACTGTTAAGAAAACACATCTAGTACAATGAAATTTCTAAGCTCTCACAACGCTGTGAGCACAAACCACTCCCTCTTTGTTCCATTTATGAACCACAGTACACACAGATGCCCTAGGTTTACTTAATACATGTGCCAGATACCTACACCCTAACTAACCCTGTGATGCCCACCACCCTATGCTTAACAAGTACTTGGGTGGCAAGTGTCAAAACAACAGACAGGGCTAAGGTTTTTTACCTTAGCCAACAAAGTACAGGGCAACTACATTACAACTCAAGCAGGAAATAAGTATCTACTAAATTCTTCATAGCTGAGGCAATGTACGATGTATTCCCAAAGGAAACTATCTGGTGTAATAGATGATACCTCAATGGTGGCTCCTTTACATGAAGCCAAAGCTCAGCTGAATTAAGTAAGGAGCCTTATTAAAAACATATCAATTTAGTTGGAGAAACAAAAACAGTATGATTTTGATGGTGCAAGTATTCAAAAATAAAGTATTGCTGGCTCCAACAACAGCCCCAAGGGGAAAATAGGAAGGGCCATATTATGGACAAGGACAGGCAAAAGACAGGTTGAGAGCCTCTGGGCATTGCAAAGAAGCTGGAAGTTGCCATTCAGTTGTGAGCAACCTGAAAAGCCAACAACTCTCCTCAGATTCATCAGAAAATCAGAAAAGCAAGGTCACAGGCTAAACTGCTACCCCTCCCCTCAAAAAACTAGACAGGCAGCACTACAGGGAGGAGAGACCACAGGCAGAAAGCACCTCAGGAGCCAGAACAAAAAAAATAAAAAAAAAACTATACTGAAGCCACTGGAGACAGCATCAAAGAGAACACCTGAAGTGTGACTGACAGTTGCTGGAAAGATCTGAAAGTTGGTTCCAGGAGTGGGGTAATATTCTGAAAGGTCTGACCATACTGGGGTGGGTTTGTTTGTTTGTTTTGGGGAGGTGGAATGTGGATGACTTTGAGACTTTAGACTAGGAAAGCAGTTGAAGTAGGGCTTAGTGGGCCATCCTAGTAGGAGCTTGGAAGGCAACAGTGCTGAGAGCAATGTGGGACGATGAAGGCCAGCTCAAAAGGTTTTAGAGGGGAACAATATTAGCAACTGAAATAGAAAGCATTCTTGTGATATTCTCGCAAAGAATGTGGCTACTTTTCACACTTGTCCTAAATTAAAAACAGATTAATTTCCTTGGTAGAAGAGATTTTAAGACAGTTGAATACTGATTCAGTCAAGTAGTTCTTAGCAATCCCTCTTATGCAAGTCTACGTGAAAAAGAGCAAGTGGAACAAAACTGTGGGGGCAAGGGGGGGGTAACACAAAATGTAGTTTGAGAAGAAAAAGAACAGCAGAAAATTTAATGTCAGAGTCAAGGACTGCTGAAAGAGCTGAGAAGACTAAAGAAAGAACTGTTATACAATAAAGGGAGGGGTGCACTCAGGGCAAGACCCCATCCAACAAGGAAATGCCTGAGGAATTTTTTGCTGCTAAAAACAAAGGAAAGCTTCTACAAATGTAATTCAAGGAGGGACTAGGCTCTTTGCCAACTGGGCAGTAAAATTTGTGTTATCAACAAGATTCTTGCTTTCAGTCATGAGGATACACAAGTATAGTAGTTGTGGAATCTTCCTCCAAAGCTAAATAGAGCCTGCCACAGGAATGCCCTGAAAGGCCCTGAAAGCATGAAGCTGTGACAGTGAAGCCTGGACTATGCTGGGAGACCCCAAGATATTAGAAATACCAGAGCCCTGGGATATCTGCCAAGGAGAGCTATACACAGGGAGCCCAAGAACAAGGAGTGTGCTGCAGTCAGCAAAGTTGGAATGGAAGGAAAGAACCCTCTAAATCCTGGCCTGACATCAGACAAAAAGCTAGAAGATTTGGAGTTTGTCCTTCTGGGTTTCAGCTGTGTATTGGCCCAGTATTTCCTCACTATGCCCCTTCTTCTCCATTTTGGATGGCAAGGTATATTCTATGTCACTGTATGCTGGAATTATGTAATTTGCTTTCTGATTTTGAGTTTACAGGAAGTAACAATTAAAACACTACCTTGAGTTTCAAAACAGAATTTGGACTTTTAAATTGTGTTGTGACTGAAAAACTATAGAGACTTTTGAAGCTTGACAAAATGCATTTTTGCATTATTGTATGGCCACCAGTCTATGGAGGTCAGAGAGTGGAATATAGTGGATTGAACGAAAATGGCCCCATAAGCCACTTGGTGGAACTGTTAGGGAAGGATTAGAAAGTGTGACTTTGTTGAAGAAGATCTATCACTAGGGGTGGACTCTGAAGTGTCAAAAGACTCGGGCCATTTCCAGTCAGGTCTCTCTACCTCATCTCATGGTTGTGGATCAAAATGTGACCTCTCAGCTACTGCCCCAGCACCATATTGCCTGCCTGTTGCCATGCTTCCCACCATGATTGCCATGGACTCTAAACCTCTGAAACTGTAATCCCAAATAAATTCTTGCTCCTGTAAGTTGCCTTGATCATTATATCTTTCAACAGCAACAGAAAAGTAATTAAGACAGTAAGTCTCCCAGGCAATATTTTAAGCCACAAATTCCTAACCATGGTTGCTGAACTCAGGCATCTACAGGGATGGTTACTCCTTTTAACTTAGTTTCCCAGACTCTCACTTACATTAATTCAGTGGATGTGGATGGTTTTTTTAAAAAAACTACATCACTTTAAATCATATTATTTCAACAAAAATTTAATAATTATTTTTAGCTAGTAAGAAAACACCATCCAACCAACTAAGGACCAGCATTCCAGAATGTGCTCTGCCTAATTTTGTGACCCTCATCTGGAACAGCAACACAGTGACTTTGGATTCAGTTTAACTAACCTGCTTCTTAATTCATTCAAACTTTAATAACTAAACACAAACAAGCAGAGTGAAACAGAATAAACTGATTTACCATGATGAATCCTGGAATGTGTAAGGAGCAATAAACAAATAGGATTCAGACCCATCAATCCTATCAATTCAAGACAATACCACATGATAGATCTAGCTATAGACAGATCTATGGGTATTTCAAAGACCACATTATCTGTTGAAGAAACTTACTGTACTTGTTATATGACATATCTGTCAGAACTCACTGAATATGCTCATTTTAATGTATGATTTTTATTGTTTGTAAAGATATTAAAGTTTATTTAGGAACAATCCCCAATGTTGATCGTGGCTATTAATATGACTCTACCTGGAAGGAAACTAACATTTGTAAAGACCCATTATTGATGTGGGATTCCCCTCTGTATGCTGTGAATATGTTTTACTACCATGGTTAATAAAAGAAGCTGCTTCAGCCTATAGCAGGGCAAAATATAGTCAGGCTGGAAGAGATAGAGTAGGCAGAAACAGAAAGACACCATGTAGCTGCAGAAGAAGACAGACACCAGAACTTACTGGGTAACCAGTAAGCCATAGCCTTGTGGCGATACACAGAATAATAGAAAAGGGTTAATGTAATATGTAAGAGTTAGTAAGAGTTAATAGAAGCCTAAGATAATAGACCAAGCAGTGTTTTAATTCATATAGTTTCTGTGTGATTATTTTGGGTCTGGGCAGCCGGAAACCAATGGGCAGTCTTAACTTGCACATTGTGGTGGTTTCAATGAAATGGCCTACATTTTTCTCAGGCATTTGAATACTTGGTTCCCAGCTGGTAATGCTTTAGAAAGACTTAGGAAATGTGGCATTGCTGGAGGAAGTTAGTCACTGGGAGCAGGCTTTGAGAGTTTAAAGACACTGTCCATTTCAAGTTCCATCTCTCCACTTCCTATTTATGGTATAAGATGGGAGCCCTCAGGCTCTACGCTTGCCTGCAGCCACAATTCCCTGTCGAGATCATGATGGACTCTTATCTCTCTGGGAGGTACACATCAAATAAACCCTTCCTTCCAAAAGTTGCCTTCATTATGGTGTTTTATCACAGCAACAGATAAAGTAATGATACACTCAAAATGAGCCAAGCAGTGAGGGTTTTGTTTTGTTTTGTTTTGGTTTTGGTATGGCTATTATATGAGGAAGCACTTGCATGGATGCCAATGTTGTGTGTCCTCCTCAATCACCTTTCATCTTATTTTTGAGACAAAGTCTCTTACTGAACCTGAAATTCTCTGTTGTTACTGTTGTTTTTCCAGGTAGGTTGACTAGAGCGAGGCCCCAGGATTCACCTGTCTCTGAACACAAGTGCTAAGGTTATAGGTTTACATCACTACCCTTGGCTTTTATGTGGATGTTTGGGTGAAGGTTTCACTCTAGCCCCTGGCATCCACATGTCCAAAGAGTCTGGAATGTTTGTATAGAAGCTCTACCCCAAGCCCCCTCCCCTGGACTTGCCTCAGTCCAGACCCCATTCCTGAGAAAGCCCACCAATGATCCCTCCCCAGAGATGCTCAAGGCCAACCACAGGGTATTTAAATTGCCTTTCCCACAGAACAAACAAGTGGTTTTCTGGTCTTCCTTTACCGTCTCCTCTCTAGGGGGCTGGAAAGTCATCCAGGAGCGTTTCTATCCATTAAATGTGGGTTTTTCTAATTCAGTTTGATTCGGTCTGATTTGGATTATTGCATAGGAGGAGAGGCTTATCGGGGTGCAGAAACTTTGTAGTGGGTAGTAGGGATCAGAATTCATGTCCTTACTTTGCCTACTAAACCATCTTCCACAGCCTCAAGTTCGGCATATTAGCTCTCAGAACTATCTGAAGTAAAAATTACTCCGCAGTCTTTTCCACTTAGAGAAATGTTGGACAATAATTTTAAACTCCTCCACTTGGTAAGTGGCACTCAGAAGCCAAGCGCAGGTGTATCTATCTGCAAAGCTGACACTTGCCAACATCTTATGACTTTACAGAACTTTCTGTCAAAGCTTTTTCCCAATTAAACCACCTTTTTTTAAGCCAAACTGAACTGATTTTTAACTTTCCAAGACAAATACCCACTTGAAAGCAGAAGACAAAAAAAGTTCATAATCTAAATATTCAATAAACTAGATGGCCTAAATGACAGGTTAACCAGCCTCCACAACCTTGAGCTATCAAAATCTGAACACAGCAGCAGAGCACTTGCCTACGTATATATCTATGAGGGCATGCAAACCGACATCACCTAATAAACAGGTAAACAAATGAATAAGCTTATACACCAAGCATTTAAAACATATTTGTCATAAAGAAGATAAACAATTCCACTACATAACTCTTTTCAGTATCACCCAGCTGCTAAGTGATAAAACCATCTGAACACTCTTCAATGAGGGAATTCTGAGGGAATCCAGATGGTCCTTGAATTACAATGGTTTGACAATTTTCCAGCCATAGTAGAATACAAAAACAGTATTCATTCAATAGAAACTATATTTACATTTAGATTTCCTCCATCCTGCTCCCCACTGCCTTCGCTTGCAATATGCAGTAAAATACTTTTGAAATGCCGGGCAGAGGAGGCAGGCACAGCTCCCAACTCCAGTTGGTCAGGAGTGTCAGTTCATTCTACCTGTACTGTGCTATATACAAAAGGAAATAAGTGAGGTGCATTAACAAAATTTTAACTTAACAGTATTTTCACCTCCTGACAGGCTCACTGGGATATAATTCCATGCTGAAACGTGTCAACATTCCTATTGTTTTTGAAGGTTAAGATTTATAATTCCACACCAAGTGGTTGAAACATTCATCCGTCATTCTGCTAAAAGCAACATCCCAAAGCTTAACATATTAAAGTGCTCAGCAAATAACCATGTATTGTTACCAAAATCTTCACTGCTGTAAAGTCAATAAAAAGCATATAAAAATATCCAAAAGGGGGGGGGGTGGCAGAAAATGTAAGACCCTTGTAAGAAACTACCATATTTAAGATGAGGTAATGGCATAGACCTTCCTAAAAGTACAAGATAGAGGAATGGACGATGAAAAATGAACATGTGAATGAATCTTCAGTGTTAATGAAAACTACTTTGTGCTTTTACTAACGCAAAACAAAATGTACTTACAGTTATGAGAGCACTGGGGAATTATCACTGCAATGTTGAAATACTCGAAGCAAATCCCACAGCGTAGCAAATCATCTATTGTCTGAAATATTAAAACACATGTATATCAACAAGACATCAACAACAGAATCAATGCCTGGCACACAACTTTCCCTCTATTTCCCTAAAACAATTATTTGTAGTTATACATATTCAAAATCTAACAACAGATAAACATGAAAGTCTAATGACAGAGAAAAACCTTCCCACAAGTATTCAAATTTGCTCTAGTTGTGGTGGTGGCAGGCCTTTAATCCCAGCACTCAGGAGGCAGAGGTAGGTGAATCTTTGAGGCCCGCCAGGTCTATAAAACAAGTTCCAGGAAAGCCAGGGCTATTACACAGAAAAACCCTGTTTTGAAAAACCAAAAACAATTAAAAACAAAAACTTAAAAATTCAAATTTCAGATTACCCCAGTCACTTTGTACAGTTGATACTGTGGATTCTCATGCCATACTGTTAGGCCTTCACAAAGGGCTCTGCATTTCCGCTCTTCTTCTCCCATACTCTAGCTCTTCAGACCCCATCCTCTGGCATATGGTAACCACTTGGTGGAAGACATCAACAATCCATCACCACATAGCTTAAGGATCAAGTTGGAAACTAGTAAAGTCAAACAATAAAAAGCCTCTAGCAGGGTATGGCCACATGCACCTGTAGTCCTAGCATTTCGGAGGCTGGGGTAGGACTCCGAGACTGAAATACCCATCCTCCTCATGGTAGTTCAACACTTACTGCATGATTCACCACAGTGCAGCCACACGAGGAAGCCTTCAAAACAGCTAGCTACAGTCAGTGTCAAATTGGACAACAAGCCAAACAGAATAGGATTCACTCTTGCAACTTAAACTTTAGTTTAAGTAAAGTAATGATAGGAAGATAGTAAGGTAGGCTGCTTTATTCTCAAGAAATAAATGTTTGGGAAGTTGAGGAGGTAGCTGAAGGGTGGAGTCCTTGTCTAGCATGAAAGTGGCCCTGGCTGCCACCCTGAGCTACACACACACACACACACACACACACACACACACACACGGGCATGCATGCACGCACGCGATATGAATAAAAATAAAGATTACAGCTAAAGATAGTGGCACACGTTCCCCAGCGCTTGTGAGTTCAAGACCAGCCTGATCTACATAGTTTCAAGACAGCCAGAGCAACACTGTGAGACCCTGCTCATAAAAACAAAAGCAAAAATAGAATGTATTGCACATATGAAGAAAATTCTGTAAAAATACAATGAAGTGATAAATTATAGTTACTAAGATAAAGGAACTGAGGAGCATGCCAGGAAGGAAATCTGTTTCATTTTAAGTATTTCTTAAGCCACATGACTCTGTTACTTAAAAACTGTAGAGACTGAAGAGATGGCTCAGCAGTTAAGAGCACCAGTTGCTCTTGCAGAGGACCTGGGTTGGATTCCTGGTACCCATACCACGGCTCACGACCATTTATGACTCTGGTTCCAGGGATTCAATGCTCTCTTCTGACCTCTACAAGCACCAGGCATGCATGCAGAACACATACATATATGAGGCGAAACACTCAATGTACAAAATGAAATAAGTAATTGTTTAGAATAAATAAATAATTTAAATATAAGTAAATACCATTATGGTGGCACACACTTTTAAACCTAGCACTTCAGAGGCAGAAGCAGGAGGATCCAAAAGTTAGACACCACCTTGAGCTAGCCAGCAAGCTCCAAGTGTGTCTGGACTGCACAGGGAGCCTGTCTCAAAATCAAACACAAACAAGTTGTCATTAACAATCCATATGATAAAATATCATATAGCTATTAAAAACTTGTGCAGGGCAGTGGTGACACACATTATAATTCCAGCATTGGGAGACAGAGTTTGGGGTCAGCCTGGTCTATAGAAGGAGTTCCAGGACAGCCAGGAATACTCAAGGGAAAACTTTGTCTCAAACACGAAACAAGCCAAAAAAGAAAAAAAAACCAAAAACCTATCTTAGGGAAATACAGTGCTTTTATAAAAAGTAAGGAGAAAGTCTATATCTGGGGCAGGGGCAGGAGGGTTACCAAGTGATTCTTAGTCAAAATAAATAAAAAATAAAAAATATCCACCCAAGTAAATATTACTTAAGTAAAATAATTCAGTGTGCAATGATTCCTTAAACTCAAAGGCTAAGTACTGGGCCTACGTCCTAATCTCCGTTTTAAAAAGATGTGAGCCACTGATGAGGGAGGGGGACTTCATTGGGGGAGGGGGAGGGATATGGGAGGAGGTAGGGGTGAGGAGGCAGAAATCTTTAATAAATAAATAATAAAAAGAAAAAAAATATGTGAGCCAGGGATGGCCACTGACCATGACTATAAACCCAGCGAGCTGGGCGATGGTGGCGGACACCTTTAATTCCGCACTTGGGAGGCAGAGGTGGATCTCTCTGAGTTTGAGGCCAGCCTGGTCTACAAAGCGAGTTCCAGGGCAGTCAAGACTGTTACGCAGAGAAACATTGTTACAAGGGTAAGGGTGAAAAAAATAGCGCTCCGGATGTTGGATCAGGTGGATAGAGGCTAGACTGGTCCTACCGAACTCCAGGCCAGCCAACGACTAGAGTAAAAGCTTGTCTCATAAACTAATAAAATAAATAAAAGTTGAATAAAAGAGAGATGTGTCGTTGAAACAGGCAGGGCACATCAGGGAGAAACCGGCTGCAGTGTGCTAAGAACGAGGAGCACTTGTGAACCTCAGCGAGAAAAGGAAAGCCATGGCAAGCAGATCCCCTGTTTTGCTATATGATTATAAAACGTCATCAGATGCAATGTCCACCCAAATCACGCGTGGTGTCACTGTTCACACAAGAAGTCTTCCAAGGATGAGCTGTCACCATTGTTGACACCGCGTTCCGGTGACTTTATCCTGATGACGAGGTGCTTGTGACTGAAACCCAAAACACCCGGTTCGTTAGGGCGGCCATCCCGGGCTCACGGCATAGGCCCGCTGCGCGTTCCCGAACAGTCCCGGGCGTTGGACCCGGCGTCGCGAGGCCGGCCAGGGTAGGGCCGAGGCGGAAGCGCGCGGCCCGGGCCGCCCCGCTCGCAACAGCGCCGTCCGCGCCCCGGCCTTCCTGGGACACTCACCTTCATCATCGACAGCCCCGGAGGCCACCTTGGCTCGGCCAGGGTCTCCATGGTCGCACCTGACAAGGCCACCAGCTACCGGCCTGCCGCCCAGTCCTTCTACTCGAAATTCCCCGCGCTATACCTACGTCAGCAACGCGCGACGCGCTCGAGGCGAACGCACAGCATGCTGGGCGTTGTAGTTAGCACACATCGGGCAAAGCTGAACTAGATTGTTGCAGTCCTTAGACCTGGGGAAGAAGAGGATGATTGAGGATTAAGGGCAGCTTGAATCTGCCTTAGAAAAGGAATAAACATAGCGGACAATGAGGACTACTGAGAACTCAAGAACAATGGCAAGGGGGTTTTGATGCTACTGCACGTACTGGCTTTGTGGGAGCCTAGGCAGTTTGGATGCTCACCTTTCTAGACTTGGATGGAGGTGGGGGTTCCTTGGACTTCCCACAGGGCAGGGAACCCTGACGAGGGACTTGATTGGGGGAGGGGGAGGGAAATGGGAGGCGGTGGCGGGGAAGAGACAGAAATCTTTAATAAAAAAATAAATTTAAAAAAAACAAGAAAAGGAATAAACAAAAGATTCCCGAAGGTGACTGAGTATTAGGAAAAAAACAGTCAGGAATCAAATGAAGTCTAAACCTTGATAGATATTTCAAGGTCTAGCCTCTTCTCTTCCCCTTCAGGTCGTACTCTCTGGTTACTATAGAGATCTGTCCTGTTCCTTGAAAACATCTAAAGTCACACTTCTGTCTCAACCCCGCTTTCTGTGAGCGATAGTGGTGGCATCCCCCTGAGCCACACAGAGCCTACAATGATCTAAATAGGAACTCTTGCTTTAAGTGGGGGAAAGACATCAAACGCAGTCTTAGCTCCAGTAAGCACGTGCCACTTACCTACTCCCCACCCCCACATACCTCTAAAATTTTAAAGTTACTTCTATTCTTCAGAGATAACTATTGGTAATATTGGCACTTAGTTCCCAGATGTTTCCCATGCAAACTGACAGAGTTTCTCCTTGACCAAACTTCTGTCAGGCTCTCGAAATATCTTCTAGCCAATCTTCCTGGATTCAGGGCTAAAGTTTTTCTTTTACTAGCCATGGTGTTTCTTTCACTGGCTCTGGTTTCAGGGCCAGGGTGGGTTTCTTTGACTGGCCCTTTTACCCTATACATCTCCCAGATGATGTCTTCCGGCCCTGACCAGTCTCCAGCAAGAATCATTTTGGCTGGTTTAACCAGAATCCCATCATCTAGATGTAATGCTGACCACTCAACTCAGCCTTCATCCTCTGCCTTCTTCTGTGGGCCTCCCTTCACTAGGTCTCAGGGGCCACAGGTTAGTCCAGGTGCCACCTAAGACAGAACCCTGCAGCTTGCCATGTCACTGACACGCGTGTGCCCCATGCATCCATACAGGCAGCATATTTGTTCTGAGAGCTTACAATGGGCCAGGCACGTGAACTCTCCCGGGAAACAGGCAGAGATGTGGCTGTCACAGACTCTTTACAAATGTGAAGACTGAGACCCAACAGGTTAGGACTTCAATTCTTTTGAATTGTATTCATAAAGGGAGCTCTGTACTCTGAACCAATTAATTTTTTGTAGCCTACACTCACATATGAATTGGACAATAATGACATAAACAACATTTAGACAATAGACTTTAATATCCATCGCAGTAATAGCTAACACATATTAGACCACCTGCGTTCAAAGCACATGCAAGTGTTTTTACATCTAAGCACTATTTGGCTTATTTGTTTATCATTCAGATGAAAGAGAATAGGTCATTGGTTCAGGGTATTTTGCCAATAAGTAGAAACAGGGTTTGAACTCACACTGTCTGGCTTTTGAGAACATACTACCTACCACAGAATATTCTCGTAAGAATCCAGCCAAGGCAATTCTTCTCACAGATATAGGAACAGAGTGTCAGAACAGCAAAATGATTCATCAGGATCACATAATTTTGCCAATGGCAATGCTCGGGGTTGAACCAGATTTTTAACTTCAACCCAAAGAGATCACCAGAGACACTTTATTGAGCAGACAAGAGCACACAGAGCAGAGCCAAGTCTGAGAATCCCAGGACACTGGACTGAGCAAACCAAAAACCAGGCTAAATGGAGGATTAGGGGCCTGGTGGATTTGTACCAACCAATCAGAGAAGAGTGTGCAAATGAACTAGGTTAACTTGGATGTTGCTGGATAGTTGTGGATGCATCAGGAGCAGGTATCTGTGCAAAGATAGGGCAACACAATAAGGCCAGTGTACAGCAGTTATTCCTTTAGAGTCCTCTTTGGATAGTGGGTAAGTAAGTTGACAAATGGCTGGGGGGGGGGAGTTAAGAATAGGGAAGAAAGGAAGAAGGAATGGAAGGAGGGAGGGAAGGAGAAAGGAAGGAAAGAAGGGAGGGAGAGACTAGGCAGGGATACGGAGGCACTCCCCTCTCTGGGCAGAGCCTCAAGGCTACACCCCATGCAATTCATCTCTGAAACCACTTGGTGAGACTGCATGAATGAACAAATTACCAGAGAGCTCACATTCCCAGGCTGTCTTTTCCTCCTGAGCCCAATGTCTCTCTCCTGTTCTCTTTGGCAGCAACCAGGGAGTTAAGCACTACTCCAGGTCACCTATGGACCGTGGAGGAAAGTTCCAGGGGATAAGCAGATCCCAGGAGGCCACCATGGGCTCAGAACAATACATTGACACCTTCCCTTAAGCCTCAAGAACCATTCTCCTGTAACAAGCTGCCATCTGTCTCTGTGACATGTGTCCTTATTTTTTTTTTAGATCAATAAAGAGTGTGTGCTTCTTTATTCAGGAACAAAAACAAAATGTTCTGTATTTTAAAAGGATACCAAAGTCAGTAGGATCTCCCACAACACTTAGAACCAAGCAAAGAGCCACGAGAGGGTAGCTCCATAAAAGACAGTTGACCAGTCAACTTGAATTTCAAATACAGAGAATTTTGAAGTGTAGTATGCCACAAATATTGCACATAACATACTTATAGTTTTAATAATTATTCCCTGTTTATCTGAAGTTAATTTTTAACCTGGTCACATTGTGATTTTATTTGTCAAATCCAACTACTCTAATCAGAGGGATGTGCTCCCAGCCACGTGGGGCCTGTCTTGGACTCACCCTTGATGTTTCATGGTCCTGAGCACCTGCCAAAAGTATCTTTGCATCTTTCTTCCTCTCTACCCTTCATCCCCTCTTCTTTGAGGCACTGCTTCACTCTCTTAAAGCGCTTGGGGTTTTGTCCCTCCTTCCTTCCCATCTTCCTTCTCTCTCCCTTCCTTTCTTCCATTCTTGTTTTTATTGTTCTTTGTCTGTTTGTTTGCAGTACTAGGTATCAAACCCAGGGTGTTGAGTGAACTAGGCAAGCAATCTACCACAATGCTATATCCTCAGTTTCCGCCCCCATACACCTTTAAAGTTTAGTTATTTGTTTGAGTGTTCTGCCAACCTGTCTGCCTGTGCACTACATGCATGCCTGGTGTTTGCAGAGGTCAAAAAAGAGAGCTGAATCCTCGGATCTAGAATTGTAGATGACTGTGAACTACAATATAGATGTCAGAATTCGAACCTAGGTCCTCTAGAAGAGCAAGAAATGCGCTTAACCACTGAGCCATCTTTTCAAGCCTTAACCTTTAGGTTTTTAAGACAAGGTTTGGCTATGAAACCCAGGGTATCTGCTTTTACTACAGAAACTGTAGGACACTATAAGACCCAGCCCTTTCATTCAATTTAGTAGATGTTTCCAGACCCCTGACACCTTTGCCAGGGCCTGAACTACAGAAGTAAACAAATAAGAAGTGGTCCCTAATCTTTAGGAGCTGACATGCCGAGGTGTTGGAGGGGTGTGGGTCAGGGATGGAGACAATATAGACAAGGAAGTACAAAAGAAAGTGAATGAATACGAATTCCCTTACATGGAAAATGGGTGTTAATATATTAAAAGTTGATGGTTTAATGGAAGACACCATGAATTGGGCAACCTGGGAAGTCCCCTACAGGAGGTAACATGTGCATGGTGACCCATTTTGGAAAAGATACCGGCAGTCATGTTAGAACCTAGGGCGAGGAGTTGGCAAAGTGTCTGGATTTCAGTGCGTGTTAACTTGAGCAAGTAGTTGTGCCTCTCTATGCCTCAATCTTCTCGTCTGTAAAATGAACTTATCATTTGTTTGGAAGGAACTTTTAAGATACTTGCTAATGCCTTGCAATGATATTTGGAATTCAAATACAAATTAAACATAGAAAAAACACACATGATTTTAAAATCTGACTGATAGATATAACAAATTTACTATATTACTCCCTGCTTTATTCTAAAATTTTGAAAATTTCCATCAAAATTTGGAAGTTTACTGTCTGCCATCTTACCAGTGGCCACATGGAGGCAACAGAGTACCATACAAAAGTGCCATACAAACGCCATGCTCAAACTGAGGGTGAAACAGATGGTCAGTCACCCCGTTAATCCATAACTTATTTATATCTTTTCATTTAATTGACTTTAATGAGTTCTGAGCATGTTTGTGTCCTTTTCTGAACCTAAAGAAGAAAAAAAATCAGGGCATGGTGACAACCACCTTTAATCCCAGCCCTCAGGAAAAAGAGGCGGAGGCAGTTCAAGGCCAGCCACAGCTACGTGGTGAGACCCTGTCAAGAGAGAATGAAAGAAAGTGAGGAGGAAGAAAGGAGGGAAAAAAGTATCCCCCTGCCTCACCCCTGCCTTTCTGAGGTCACACGTGTAGTTTCTGAAAGACACTAGGTGGGCTGTTCCTAGGAGGCTCTGCCTGGTACTGGTGTCTGTTTGGAATAGAGATGTGGCCAGGCATTTTGGAAAGAAACAAATTATTCTGAGAAGCAGAGACAGTCACTTGTCCTGAGTGGACCTCCTGGTCAGGTTTACTGCTTACCAAGCAAGGTCTGAGGAAAGTGACCCTACCTCTCCGAACCTGGGGCTAAAAAGAGTTGACTTTATAGCTTTTCTGTTAAAGGAGCACAAGACTGTCCATGAGACTCATTTAGAACAGTGCCTGGGGAATCTGGAGAGATGGCTCAGTGATCTTGCGGAGGACCTGGGTTCAACCCACAGCCCCC